ATCACGGCCCTCCTATTTGGGTTGTGATAAAAGTGGTATCACAGCAGTTCTATCCTAGGGAATCTACAAGCCGTGTCTAGTAGAGTCTTGTTTATAGGTGTGTTGTGTACCACACTTATAAGCATGAGGCTACCGGGTATTTAGGACTGTCACTCTTTCTTCTTGCTCTAGATTGTGTTGTAGAGCTCAATTGTAAGAATTCAAACTTCTATTATATTCGTAATACAACGATACCTCATCCAAATAAACAGTTGGTATGAGATTGACTATGGTTCTTGAAGAGTTGAGTCAGAGGAACTCGATTTTTTATCATGCTTATGATGAGCAAATGTGGGGTCTTCAGCAGATCATGTGTATTCTAAGATGTGTAAGCTTCTTGATAAGGAGCCCTAAGGCAAGAATATCTATCCACTCGTATGGTAAAAAGGAATAAGTGAATCAGAAAGTAGACACAAGTTTCAGAAAGTAAAACAAGCAAGATGACGAAAGGTACGAGGTACCTAGTTAATGAAGATTATCAGTATTTACAATTCAGGCAGAGAAATGTAAGTATTGGTGTTACCTTCAATGTTAATGGTGATATATACAATTGACCACACCCATCTCAGTTGTGCCCTATGGGAGCTAACAAATATAGTTTAAAAGAAGAAGGTGATATCAAGATTCAATTCGGGTTAGAGTAACCAAAAATTATGAATGGATTGTTATCATTAACTAATGTATCCGAAGGATAGTGCAAATGTGGTAATAGATCTCCTTGTGAGACACCTAGATGGTGAACTTTAGAATAATACAATCAGATATGAATACTGGAATATTCAGAAATTTCAGAAGATAGGAAGTGGGATCCTAAAAGCGACAAATATTTACCTTAGTATGAATCCAGCCACGAGTAAAAAAAAGGAGAATGTTAGGCATTCCGAAGAGCCAGTGAGATGAATCAAGGGGAGCTAAAAGGGAAAGAACATTTTGTCAGAGTTTTCAGAATAAAGTGATAGATAAAGATATTATCCGGAGAATAAGAAGAGAGTAAATGAAGCATCCTGAGTAAGATGTAATATATGGGTGATAACATTAAATCAAAATATGACACGATGATAGAGTCTATAGTCAAGCAAAGGAAAAATACAAGAGGTGACAGGCCTTCAGGCAATAAAAGAGTATCAGCCATAAAGTCATATCCTTATTTCGAGAAATGAGTTAGTGACTTCAACGTGATTACCAGGAGGAAAGGTTAGACCCCAGAGTAATAAAAATCAGTATGGGGTGGTGAACAATATAGAACATGAATTAGGGACTGAAGGATTTTATAATTGTTGATATCATGAGAATTTCAGAGATATCATTCCGAAAATAATAGAATGGACAAAAAAAATAATAACCTTTAAGGTTCATTCAGGAAGATGCTTCCCTAAAGCAAGCACGTGGAGCAGAGTTAAGCTTAAGGGAGTAAGTGTGCTAGTTACACTAAGTGTCACCCTTGTGCGTAATAAATTCAATTATCCCTGGTATAGAGAGGTTACCGCAAGGCGAGTAAGATGTTAGTGAAGATGTGAACAAATGGCAAAATGAAGAGGTAACTATGGAATAGTAAAGGAGGAATGCGGTAAAAGGGTGAAAGGAATGAGATAGCATCTATTCAGATCCTATAGATATGATATGACTCCAGAACATTATGCAAGCATGATGCCGGAGAGAAGTGGTAAGGGTTGCGCACCCGATGATATTGATAAATAAGTGCAAATGAACACTTGATGCATAAAGAGCCAATACGAGAGGTAACTTAAGGCAAAGTAAATAACTAAAGAGAGATTATGCGGAATATAGATATGGGAATGGACCAACGAGTAGTTTGTAGTTGATTCAAGAAGAGCCAAGTTATGGCTATACAAGAGGTTATAAGCAAATCAGCAGATCATGCAAGATAAATGTAGTGAATTCTAATCTAGTAAATTCAGTCTCGCAGATATAATGTTGTAACCTTGAGAAATATTCAGATAGGAGTTGGGTTACTAAAGGTATCGTATAAGTGTTACAGAAATAATGGAGAGTGCCACTAAGGAGACAATCAAAATCTAAGTCTAGAAGTAACCCTACGAGCACAAGGGCACGAAGGTATGTAACTAAGGATGTTTGTAGGCGAGCAAGAACATCGAAAATTCCTTCGGGTATACAGTATAACAAGATCGTAACTTTACAAGATCCAAAAGGTCTCCTTAATTACTACAAAGAAAGATTAGCTGAGGAAATAAGGAAGAAAGCTTCAACTTAAGCATAACGATATAAAGAAGAAATGGTCTTGTAACAACAGTTTCACTACAATATGGTATACACTCCATAAGAAAGTGGAACCTATCGTGACTAATGAACAGGAAGTCAAAAGTGATATTTGTGATCATATGAGTTATAGGAAATTCAAGTATTGGTGGGCAATAAGATAAGCCAAGAATTCATGCAACAAGTGGCAAAACGACCAGGAAAAGTGATTGCTTACTTTTAAAGAACGTTGAGAATGCACAAAAGGAATTATTCAATCAATGATCCAAAGTTAATTACGCTATGAATGCACTTAAGACTTTAGAGTTATATCTATGCAGCATATATGTTGACATTCATACAGCTACAGGAGACTTTGGTATAAGTTAAAAGAAAGAATTAAGTCCACGTGACCTATAAAGGCTTGAATTGTTAGAAGATTATATCATGGATGCTACATATAGTCCATGAAAGGCTAATGTAATAGCTAATACCCTAAGCTGAAGATTGGAAGATAGCATAAGCTTATTTAAAGGCTGAGAAGGAAGAGGAAGCTCGAAAGTTACATCATGAGTCTGATTGTTAGACACAGATGATTATAGAAATCATGACTCAAACCATATCAGGAGCACTTTTAATAGTAGAGGTATAAGAGATATAGTACAACAATCGTATTCTAGAAAATCTCTACGATAAAGCAATTAGAAGAGTACCAGCCTCATAAGACATTAATATGAAGCTCTCACCAGATTGTGTATGCACCAGGGTTGCAAGTATTATAGTAGAGCTTTAAGGTATGGATGTGAATTCCACCAATGTAGAAGGGAGGTTATGAAATCGATAGAAGATACGGTGCGAAATTTAAAGGTAAGTATGGTAAATGTGAGTGAGAAGGTGACAATAATAGTCAAGGTCTCATGATTAAACTCGTCAAAACAAGAGAGCTAATGCTTTCCATGAGCAATAGAAAGCTCGGTACACTCTAAATGAACTCAGAGGAGTCTAAGAACAGGAGCAATTAGAGGAGATGGAATACTGCCCTGGTAGTAGAATAAGGGTGTAATTGTGATAGTTAAGAGAATGACGTTTGGGCCTTCGATTGAGTAATGATTTAACGAAAAGGGATTTCATAGATGGTACAGTATTAGAATGTCCTCGTAAGATGAATACGTTGGGATGTTATGAGAATGCAGTTATTGAAGTATAGTATCATCCCTATGTGTGTCAAAAAAATCACTTCAAACATTCCCCGATGAGACGTGAGCCTTAGTGACAATGTATTACATTCGAGGCGATGGTTGGAGTTAGTGAAAGACTATGATGTTTATATTTTATATCATCCAGGGAAGGCGAATGTAGTAGTCAACACCCTCAACGTAGATCTATGTGTAGCCTATCATATTTACAGGCATAGAAGAGTGAGATAGCTTGTGAGATTCATCTGCTAGCTAATCTTGGAATTCAATTACTAGATGCAGGTGGTACCAGAGTTACTGCTTAGGACATGGAAACCTCCTCTTTAGTAATTAAAGTGAAGGAATTCCAGTATGAAGATCATGTGCTAGATCATTATAGAGATACAACCCCTCAAAAGGAGAAGACACTATTTAAGATTACAGGAGATGGAGTCCTCAGATATCGAGGCCGATTATATGTTCCTAATGTGGCAGGGTGAGATGGAGTCCTCAAATATTAAGGTCGATTGTATGTTCGTAATGTGGCAGGGTTGCGCCGGCAAGTTATGGGACAAGCAATGAGAAAGTAACCTAGAGTTGTGTAACACACCTCGGTAATAATACCAAGGCTATAAAACGAGATATAGCAATAGTCGTACATTCAGCAAAGTACCAACCGAAGAGCTTAAGTATACCTATATATGCTCAGAGGGACATGATGTCATAGTTCTATATATGTATTTAGAAAGTGAAGCCAAGAGATTGGCAAAAAGCTGGAGGAAAAAAAGAGAGAAGAGTCGTGCATAAAAGGACATATTCATGTAGGATACATCATAGAAGGTAGTCGAAGTTACGAGATTGGAAGAACTCCAGCCATAGTTCGCAAGGTGAGAATAGGCCAAAAGGGAGGAATGCCCTGGTTTTTAAATTTATTCACAGAACAATAACCTAGATGACAAAGGACAATATTAAAGTATTCATAAGAGCCATATGGTATGAGAATGAGAAGTGCACCAGTCAACATTCGAGGACGAATGTTCCAAAGGGGGAAATAATGTTACAACCCATGTTTTTGTACCTGAAAGTACGTCGTGAGTCAATTGATGTAAGCTCAAAAAGGATGAAATCCTTCTACAAGGACAAGAAAGGTTTGCCAAAATGTTAAGCAAGTTAAGATGAATATGAGACTTTTTAATCATGATTTAAATGAGTTTAAAGCCATGATATGACTATATATGATGTTTGTATATGAAGTATAAAGTTTGAGAAAAATCGCATTTAAGTTACGGAAAAACCGACTAAGGATTTGCCTTGTAATGAAGCTTTTTGAGTAATAAATTTTCTGTGCTATATGAGGTCTTTTTGGGACATATTATATCAAATTGAAGGTCTTGGAATTTAGTTTCTAACGCTCTTAACTATTCATTCATACGATATCCGGATAAAAAGATATAAGTACTTGAAAAAGGGCTAATGAGATGGTGCCAAGTAGCACCTTTTGACTTTTCAACCAAAATGGATATTTATCTTGCTATGTCGTCTCTTTCTTCATAATTCCAGAGAGCTCGACCAAATAAGACCCCTAACCTCACCCTTAATCTGTGCACAAGGTTATCCAACAAGATTATCGTCCGAGGCACGAAATCATGAAGCAATAACACTAGAACGATCCCCACGACGTAAGTATCGCTATATAGCTTCTCTTTTTCTTTGTAGTTTGAGTTTTGGAAGGTATTTTAAAGTTAATAAAAATGCCTTATTTCTGGTTTCAAGCTCTTAAACATCAAGTAAGATTCATTAATTTATTTCATAATAGATAGAACTCATGGGACGGTGATCGGAAGCCGTGAGTTCGAGTTATTTGATTTGTAATGGACTGTTTTGTGGGCTGTTTCGTGTAGCTTTTGGGCTGTATATTTTTCTGCTATTTAATGGAGTTTTTGGAAGATAAATTGTGTGGAGAAACACCACCTAATGGCGAAATAATGGATTAGTCATTCTTTGTAATATTTTTGGGGCGTTGGACACTACTATAGTCGTCGTTTTTTGTATGAATTGATTGAGGTATCTTGGGCTGTTGTAATCTAAATATAACATGGATTTCGACTTGCATTCACTGTAGCAGGTAATTATATTGTGTTCCTACAGGCGCTTAAGGTTATCTTGGCATTTATTAAGTTAAATGGATGAACTAGACATGAACTAGTGTATAAAGTTGCTAATTAAGAATATTTGGAGTTGTGGATCATTTTCTTTTTTATGGATATATGGTATAAGGCTTGAATTATTGATGAATGACTTCATTATCATGTTAATGATACTATTAAGTTAAAGTAAAAAGTCTATAAGGGGTGATATGGGGTATACGAATTCTAATTGGAGCTTGTCGCTCGTCGTAAAATAGTTATGACTTGTTGTTGTTTTATGCTGTCTTGTTATTGATAATTATGTATTGCTGGATTTCTATGGTAATTGTTGTTGGTATATGGTATTGGAGGAGGCTCTTGTTTTAGGGGAGATGCTGGCCGAATTTATATAAACGAACTACAAGTTTAAGTTGCAGACTTATCCTTTATTCAACACTGATTTTGAATCTCCTTATGCAACGGTAGATTGAGTTGAGTTGTTTGAAGAGTAGCTTGGGAGGTATTAAGGACTCACCATGGTTAAGGTATGTTAAGGCACTTCCCTCTTTCTTTTGGCATGATCTAAAGTGAAATGAATACTCTATTTCATAACGGATCTACTCCTAGAAACTAAGGTTGCCCATGTTGTTCTTTCCTTATAAGTTATTCTAAGCAAGTATGTATGATCCTTGAATCCTGTAGAAGCTCATATTGATGGTATGATACCTTCGCGCTGACCGTTCGCTTTCTCAGTAGCAAAAGCGCTTCTCTTTGCCCCTTAACCTTAAGTAGAAGGACAAGAAAGAGATTATTGATTTTCTTGCTCCCGCTTCCTCATATGCGCTCATCAAGCCAACTTTGCTCTTTGGGAGGTGAAACAGCGGTTAAAGCGGACATTTCAAAATGACAGCATCGAAGATATATTTCTATATATACACGGTTATAGCTATCTCGGACTGCGATGTCCATAATGTTAATCGAAAGTGCAACGACCTTAAGTCACTCCAAAAGGTTTAGAACGTGACTCCATGAGTCTAGTATGCACTATATATAGTATCTATTTTACTCTACAGAGTCGCGCTATAGTAGGCCGGATACTGCACCTATTGTGCAGCCATTGATCAGTTGGATTTATCGAGCTCCATGTGGCCGGGTACGATTCTACCGAGCCTTATGTTGTCCGGGTACATTTTTACCGAGTCCTCTTTGATGCTGGGTACGATATGATGATGATAATGCCTATGGAGGCGGATGTTTTTAAAAGTTTATGTATATATATGTATTATTCATCTTAAGTCAGCAGCCCCCAGAGGCACACAGATGTTACAGATTGTATCTCCTCTATCTCTATTTATATTACTGTTCTTGTTTATGTTTTCCTGCCTTACATACTCGGTACTTTATTTGTACTGACATCCCTTTTGCCTAGGGACGCTGCCTTTTATGCCTTCAAGTCCCAATTGATAGGTTGACATTCCTCCTAGTAGGCTATAAGCTCAGTGGAGGTGTTGGTGCACTCCACTTGTTCCGGAGTTGCCTATTTGGTCAGTATGCTTTGGATATGTATTGATTGATATGACGGGGCCCTGTCCCGACCTTTATGATTTTATGTACTCTTAAAGGCTTATTGACAGATGTCAGGTTTATGGATACTTGTATGGCCTTGTTGGCCTAAGTGTTGAGTTTACAAATGGTCATGTCGTCCTTATAGGTCTGTATGTCACATGTATGAGTTTCTACATCATATTGGGTTGTCCTATGTCTAGTATTCCTTTATGTTTATTCTGGTTATCTCATGACGACCCTTTTGGCCCATTTATCCATGATAGTATTATAAGAAATTAAAAGTTACGTTGGTACTCGGTTGAGTAAGGTACCGGGTGCCCGTCATGGCCCTCCTATTTTGGTCGTGACAAAAATACCGAAAATTTAAAAATCATATAGGAGACTAGGAGTGTAGACTGGCCAGCGCCCCAGCCCAAGTGCTGACCCAAAAGCTAAAATTTTAATTTTTGGAGCCCAACCCAATAACCCAAAAGTCTTTCACTTTCTTAATTCATACCCTAAGTCCTAACATCTGAGAAACCTAAGAACTAAGAAGTAAAAACGACTGAGAGAGTGAGAAACCTAAGTATGAACAAACGACTCGCATGTGAGATCACTGTCCGTCGTCTGCTGTCGCCACTCACCAGTGAGATTGCCAGATTGGCTGTCCGGCGTCCGCTCTCTGCTGTCAACTCTTCAAATCAAGACTTCAATAGGTTCATAACTTTTCAATTTTTTATTCTTCAATCTTCATTTTTCTAATTTGTCTCGAGAAACTCTCATTTTATGATCTAAGTTTTGAAGTTTAGATAGAACTAATGTCCATTTTCTCGGATGCTCTGCGAAGTTTTGAAGTTTTGTATTATCGATTTTTTTATTGCTTTGAGGTGGCTGTGTTTTTTTTTGCTCTGTGAGTGGAACAGATGAGCTCATCCATGCTCTTTCTCCAAGATATGCTTCTAGTAGTATATTATAGTTCTATCTTGCGTTCGAGGGAATTTAGATATTTAGTAATTGGAAGACTTGGAGGATTTTATGATGTTGATTAGTAATGAAATTGATTTTCTCTGTTTGTGACTCGTCTCTGTGGACGCTTGCTGAAGTTACTTGTTACTATGAATTAGTTGGTGATGTATTAAGGGAAAATTAATTGTAATTTGAGATTTTTGTTAAAAATGATCAATTTGTTTGTTTTTGTGGTGTGAGTGGTCTGGCTAGTTCTTTCACTGAAGACCATCAGTGGCTAGTTTGGTCTTTCGATGGAATGTTATGGCAGTAAGCCCGTTGGTATTTGTTATTGGTGTGATATTGCATTTTTCAAATTTAAAACATACCAAATATGGAGGAATATTACTGTAATATGACACACAATCTCCACATTATGTGGTCCCTAGACTAGTTATAGAAACTCATTGAACTGCTAATGTCCTATTCTCTAACTTTGCTGTTAGTTGCTGCAAGACCTAAAGCTTGTTGATTCTTAATTTGTGTTTATATTTGTTTAATTTTGTATAGATGGCAGATGAAAGTAGAGTAAGTAATGCTGGTTCAAGTGAATTGTGTTTATTTGTGAGTTAGGAAAAATTGGCAGCTTTGAATTGTGCACAGTTGTACAAAATTGTGCAATGTGCACTTTTAATCGCTAAATAAGCACTGTACACTTTTAATGTGCAATGTGCACTTTTAATCGTTGTGTACAGTGCATTGTTGTACAAAATTGCGCACTCGTTAATCGTTATTGCACTTGCTTTAGAGTTTGAATTGTGCACTAGCACACTTTCACTCGTAAGTGTTGCCTTGAATTGTGCACTGTTGCTTACTGCTTAGTATTGAATATAGCGATTATTGTCACTCGTTAGCATTGCTTACTTAGCGATTATTAAATCGAAACCGTATCGAAACCGTACCAAACCAAAATAAAAAATACTGAACCGTACCGAAATACTTTGGTACGATATTTGGTATACACAATTGATAAACCGAATACCGAAATACCGAACCAAAATTCTTAAATATCGAACCGAAATACCGAATGCACACCCCTACCAAGAACGGATTTCGAAAGGCTAACGTCAAAAGTCGAAAGTCTAAATCCCCAAAAACATAGGAACAAAAAAGAAAAACTGAAAAAACTGAAAGGAGAAAAGTCCCTCTTTTTACATTGCCAAAAACGTATCCACAAGAGACATCTTTACAAAATCAATCCCCTGGGGACTGCATACAAAAGGAAAAAGAAAGGTTGCATATGACTTGGGGACTACCCTTCATCACCACTATCTTCGCCCTCATTTGGGACGGGTAAAAGAGCCAGTTCCCTCTCCAATTCGCGGGCTTCCTCAAGATAAATGACAGATCGATGCCCCGGGCTCCGATCTCCTCCAGGGTTTCTCTCCTCGCCTCCGCCTTAGCATGATTAATAGCCCGAGCTAGCTTATGCTCGGCTGCTATTGATACGTCATGAGCTATTTTATGTGTCGTGGCTGCGTCATCAAGATAAGTGGCAGCATTTCTTTCAATCTTGGACTTGGCCGCGACCAGGGAAGCAAACTCCTTGTGAGCATTCTCGAGAAGATCATGGGATGACGCCAACTCCTCAGTAGCTACCTCACTTTGCTTCCTCAGCCCGAGGATCTCCACATTCAATTGACTAATTTGTGAACCATTTTGCTCGACCTGCAAAAGAAAGGTAAGTCAATTTCTGTCAGAATGTGGGAGCAAAGGTCGAGTAGGTCGAGATACCTGCACAGCAAGATCAGCCTTTTCCCAGAGCGCTCTCTCCAAAGCAGCTCAAAGCTCTCCTAATTCTTTCTCTCCTCGGGCAGAGTGAGCCTCCAAATCCCGCAGCATCGAGGCAAGCTTCTTACACTCCCCTTCGCGGTAAGAAAGCTCCTCGTGGAGCCGAACGAGGTCATGATCATACATATCCTTGCACTATGACATAACAGAAAAGTTGGAAAGACGATGAATGATGCCCAAGACTAAAAGAAATATACGAAAGACAACTATCACTTTCCGTATGAATCTCTCCGCCGCCTTGAAGGCTCCAGGAATGTCAAGACCGATACTATCGCTAACACCGTCAAAGATGTTGGAAAGAGAGCCTCCCCCTTGGAGAGGAATCCCTGCTTGGACAGTGTTCTCTTCTTGAGCGTCCCTCAACTCCCCTGACGAGACCTGAAAGCACGAGATGAAATCATTCATGTCGCCGATTTCCCCAAAAGGCAACCCTTGCTCCTAAAAAGCTCCGAGCCCCGACCCTTCAGGATCGATAGCAGCGGTCCCCCCAATGGGAACTGCGCCAAACCCGGTCATGCGATCTGTAGCCACATTAACACCCCCTCAAGGGTCTCTGGTCTACGGGACCGACCTGATTCGTCCATTCCAGACTCAGCAGCCTCCGATCGAGGCACATGCGAGGCTCCCGCACTTGACCTTGTCCTCTGGGCCAACTGGCATTCATCGTCATCCTCGTCCTTGGCGCCGGGATTTGCCCCTGAAGTTGAAACAGAGGTCCTAGCAGCGGCTTGATGTTCGAGTGACCTATATTTCTTTATCGTAGGAAGGTCGACAGCGGCCTTGCCTTCCCTCTTCTTGCCCTTGCCGGGCGCTGAGACCTCCGTCCGGCCACTAGGGGCGGCCTCATCTCTATATTCTTGCCAAGGCCTGCACAAGCATGATAACCATAATTTGTCAGCACAGGGGACACAGAGAGAAATGCGAATCTAAGACATAGGCAGCAAAGAAGCTCTGCCATGATTCTTGGCCACCCATCGCTCTTTGGCCAGGTCGGTCCAACACCGAACATGATACGGGAATGCGGCATCGAACCATCTGATCCACCCTGGCAAGTCTGAAACCGCCTCGGGGTACCAAGCAGCGGCTGTGTGAAACGACAAAGAAATCATCAATCCGGAAAAAAGGGAAGAAAATTACCAAATATGGTTAAGGGAGAGTCGCTTACGTTGTGTGTTCCACCTCTCCGGGAAAGGCATCCTCTGGGCTGGAATGATGTCCGAGGTCCTTACCCGGACGAACCTGCCCATCCATCCCTGGTCCTTCCCCTCGTTGATGCTCGAGAAAAATGATTTTTAGATCGATTATGGAGCCTAATCAAACCTAGATAAAACCGAGGGTTGTACAGCATAATCAAATGGTTGAGGGTAAAAACCTCGCCCACAACCCCTTTTGTGAAATGACGGAGCATCAATACTATCCTCCAGATAGAGAGATAGATCTGGCCGAGCGTCACTTGATATTTATCGCAAAAATCAAGGATAACCGGATCTATTTTTTGGGGAGAAGTTTTAGAAGATTCAGAGGACTCAGCAGGACCCAAGGTTAACGGGTAGGTATACACATGATGGAATCCGTCCTTGTAGTCCGTTATATTCTCGTTAGGGCCGGAAATTTCCACCTTCACTGCCTCGCCCCATCAGCAGTCTGTCTTCACTGTTTCGATGTTGGTTACTACACTAATGTATCGGGACACATGTTCACATCGGTCTGATGTGGATGAAGTGGCATCTACGATAAAATCTTTTGACTTGTCAAGCTTTGAGGGAGTGCACTGTTCCAAGGTGGGTACCGCTTTGGCTTTCTCCTTGGACGGCCGAGATAAAGATGCAGCTTTATTCCACCGAGGAACCGTTCTAGAAGTCCTGGCCATAGCAATGGTAAAATTTCCTCTCAGAAAGCAAGACGAAAGAGTGTAAAAGAAGATGGGTGTGGACTCATGAATTTGAAGATGCTACGAAGATGAAGATTATCAAACAGTGGATGTATTTATAGGAATCGCTTGGGCAGCGGAAAGGACGAGCCAATAGTAGTTCGTGGGTTCCTCAATAATCGCATTTGACGGCGACCCTTGCAAGGTTTTCTGGGACATGGCATTTAATGCTCTTATAGGTTGACGTCACAGCAATGATGGTCTCAGAATGACGGCTCAAAATCGTTTCCTATTACTTTGTTCCAGGAAATGCGGAGATTATTTGTATACGATGAAATCGGAGGGTCCAATTCCTCGTCATTAAGGTGTTCCGGGAAATCATCTCGAGATCTCGAGGCTGCAAGATTGCGGTCGAGTTCTCTCCCTCGATGTCCATTTACGCTCGACCCAACGACGATGCCAAGGATGGGAGTTCCCAAGGCGAGCAGATAGCACTAGCAAAGCCTGGCGTCACATCTGGCTGTCCCATCTCCATATCTTTACAATTAATGTATTTTGTACTATGTTGGGATTCCCCTCCTATATAAAGGGGATCCTTACCATTTTGTAAGCCCCCTGCTGTTGCTCCAACTATTCTACACGAAATATACAAGAACTCTTTCTTTTCTCTCTAACATATTCCCTCGACACTATTGTTATTGCTTATTACTTTTATACTTGTTCTTCATTTATTGCTTGTTATTGGCCAAAAAGAGCATCATTTAATTACATTCTAACTGTTAGCCCTCTCCCGATTATCCCTGATAGCTCGAGCCCGAGCCCAGGCATCGACCTCGAGGTCCCTCATCGGTTAGTCCGAGGCCCGGAAAGCTAACCCCTCGGTCTGATTATAACTCTTGTTTAGTTTCATCTTTTATCTTCACATATCTAGCATCAACTACTTTAACAACTAACATAAAAATAGATCACATATTTTTAGAGTCTCATCAATAAATTTAATTATTATTACTATTTTCACGGTAAACACGAACGAAATCTCGAACTCCGTCTTCAAAATAAATAACTTAAACTAAATAGTTTTCCAAAATGAATCTTGACTATACAAGAACAATGTTTTTTTTTTCTTAGTTCTTATGTTTTCTGTCCGCCCCTTTTTCTTTCTTGTTACTTCCTCCCCCAATTTTGTTCTCTTCTCTTCTTTATAAAGAAGAATAATGGTGGTTATTAAATCTTGTGCCCAGAATTTGGAGTGGAAACGTGGGATTAAAATGAAGAAGAGGAATTGAGACGTGACTGTGTGTGCTAGTGTAAAGTGACGTGAGGGAGTGGGGATCATGGGGTTGGGACGTGAGTGTGTAGGTAGTGATTAGTTAGATTGGAAATTTGTTAATCTTTTGGTTTTATTTTCGTTTTTTTT